GTTAGTTTTAAAAACTTTTGATATATTTGTATTTTACATTATAAGCAGTCAACCGATTGACAAACTAGAATTATTTGAATTCCGTGTGTAAAGAGGTCGGGTTAATTTCGAGTGTTATCTGCAATCTAGATGTTTATAAATCATTTCAGTCGTTGATATAATAATTAAAGGTCGACTGAACATGAATTATATTATACAATTTAAGGCGCATTTCTGTTTATGCACGTGAACCCATCTAACGTTATTGATTGTTATTTCGCAGTTATATAAAGTAGCAAATTGTCGTTCCTGAATAGGTGGCGCCGTGGTAGCCGATCCTGTTCTTAAACTTCCGGTTTCTGCACTGTGCAACTATACAGTTGCATTTTTAATTAACGATGCCAAGTTCTTGTTGTTGTGTACCTGGATGTCATTTAAGAGGAGGACATGCATTTCCAAATGACTTAAAAAGAAGGAAAAGTTGGATCAACGCCATGGCCCATACGCAGATTGGACGAGAACACGATGAAATCGTGGAGTCCATCTCAATCAGCTGTTGTTTGCAAGGCACATTTTACCTAAAAAGACTACGTGCAGGAAACTATTCATGGTAAAACTCTATTTTCTTTTTAAAATATATAGTTATATATGTAATCGCCATGCGAATACACCAAAGTCTGTTTACAACCGCAATTATCGTTTTAGAATAAAAGGGGGTGGTTAATTCTCAAAACGTCATAATTTTTTTTGGATTACGATTCAATGTGATCTGTTTGAGATTTTTTGGTGCTTGCTACAATTATAATGATTTCTTACAAGAGGTATATCATACTGAGAATTATTTTAGCAGTAATTATGCTAATGTAGTAATGACAGGAATGCATAAGCTATGCCTCATAGACTTTCTTGAAAAATATCAATGACAATGTTAACAGGAACAAAACAATGACATGCTCTCATCTATATTATAGTTATTTAGGTACAAACAATGTATGTTTGTTGCATACGTCTCTCATTGTTTGTCCTTTGGATTTACATAAAATACATTTTGATGTACATTGAATCAGGCTAACATAGTTTTATCCAGATTGTAATGAATAAATCTAGTTAATATTTTGCCAGGTAGTACAAAGTATGCATTGCTAATGGAAGTTCATTTAATTATTAAAAAACTAATGTTTTATAACCTTTTTCAGAGCGCAAACCCTCCATACAGAGACTTAAGTCTACTGCCATTCCCAGCCTATTTTCCTGGATCAAGCAAGAGACTGAATCGTCCGCAAAAAGAAAAATCAGGGCAGTTTCCTGGGAAAACAAAAGAACTAAACTTGATGAATATTGTAGTAGAAATCTAGAGGAAAGTTTTGATTGTAAAGTTGGTTTTCCGGAAGAAGTCATTCATACTGCAGCCAGGATTTATGACTGTCCACCACCAACTGCCGAGCTAATGTTGAGCTTCACAGATGGAATTACGCAAACACCATCAATGCCTATATTTTCAGCAGAGAATTTTGAAATGAAGACATGTGACACAGCCATGCATTTTTATACCAGTTTAGAGTTGTATACTAAATTTTTATTTGTTTTGACCACACTTGGTCCAGCAGCACATTGTTTGAGATACATATATTTTCAAATTGATAGGGTGTCATTTGAAAATCATTTTTTTTATGACTTTGATGAAATTGAGGCATTATACAACCAACTTTGAACTGTCTAGATTCTAGATTGAAACTAGTGTTAAGAATATTGTATAAACATGGATTGTTTTTATGTCTAAACAGTGGCGTGAGGCTAACACTTGGCCATTTAGTGGTTTAGTCAGGTATTTTTCGCCATCCAACTTCAAATTAAAGTTTCCTACAACTTGGATTATTATTGACAGCACAGAATATCCCGTGATAAAACATAAAGCTCCTAGAGCTCAGGCAACCTTTTCATCATATAAAAACAGAAACACTGAAAATACTTGTATGTTCGACACCTGGTGGTTTAGTCAACTACAAAAATGTATGTCTCTAATGCATATGTTGGTTGTACCAGTGACTGTGAAATAGTTGAAAGATGTAGAATACATGTGTAGTTCAATTATGTGATCCAGGTGACAGTGTGATGGCAGACAAAGGTTTAAATGTGCAAGATTTGTTTGCTCACTTTTTTCAAAAAAAGAAACAGAATTAGTTCCAAAACTCTTATACGGGATAGAAAAGTCTCCAATTAACACATGCACATAGAGCTAATTGTTGGACTTGGCAAAACTTTCATATGAAATAACATTTAGTTGTTTTATGTTGTGTAATTTTAGAACTTGTATTGTGCCAAAGGATGCATAAATAAAAGTGACGCAATGAAGTTTGTTCTGATATATATATATATAAATATTATTTACAATTACATGCACATGTAAATTGTAATGCATAAAAAAATAAGGAGATGTGGTATGATATTCAGTGAGTTTATCGAACCAAAGTGCATAAGAAATGGGTTAAGCAGTTATAGGTGTTACTGTCACTGTACAATCTCCAACAATTAGAAAAACTTGTACCGTGTAAAAAGTTTCAGAGATCTTACAACTAAGTTTGACTTTGGTGAATTGTTTATATCTGTTGATGTAAATATAAAAAAGAAGATGTGGTATGATTGCCAATGAGACAACTCTCCACAAGAGACCAAATGACACAGAAATTAACAGCTATAGGTCACAGTACGTCCTTCAACAATGAGCAAAGCACATACCACACAGTGAGCTATAAAAGGCCCCAAAATGACAATGTAAAACAATTCAAACAAGAAAACTAACGGCCTAATTTATGTACAAAAAATGAACGAATAACAAATATGCAACACATAAACAAACGACAACCACTGAATTACAGGCTCCTGACTTGGGACAGGCACATACATGTACATACAGAATGTGGCGGGGTTAAACATGTTAGCGGGATCCCAACCCACCCCTAACCTGGGACAGTGGTGTAACAGTACAATATAAGAACGAACTATAAAAATCAGTTGAAAGAGGCTTAACTCATCAGATGCATAAATACAAATACAAGTGGACGTGGCCGGGTAGTTGTACATCCAAACAACTAAAAGACACTAAGTACAGATCTGAGAGTACTCGCATTTACTGACAGCTAGTTCAAAGCCACTAACAACTGATAAAAAAATCTTGCATCTACATGTAAGACTAAATTATAAATCCGTAAGCTCCCTTTAGAATTTTATAAATTTTGGATTGACATTTCTGAGTTGTGGGGTTTTATTCATTAAAAAAGGGGGGATTTTCCAGTTTTTGGACAATAACTCAAAAATGCTTTAAGCAGTTCTCATGAAACTTTGGTGAATTATTTATAGCTATTGATGTAATCTCCCTATTGATTTTCATAAATTTCAAATATGACATTGAGAAGAAATTGAACTTTATTTGTTTATAGTCTGGCAACAGATTTATTAAGTATTGCGCAACAGCAAGAAATCTTTAATTGAATATAAATTCAATTCATATAACCGATTTCAAGTTCTTTGTCTACATTTATTCAGAAACTATAATATGTCAAATATTTAATTACAATCCAAATTCAGACCTGTATCAAGCTTGAATATTGTGTCCATTTTTGCCCCAACTGTTCAGGGTTGGACCTCTGCAGGTGTATCCAGCGGCGCTCAGCGAATCAGTTTATTTCTTAATTAAGAACTCCTTTTTGTCGATCCTGCGACTTTTGTCGCAGAAAGCTCGACATAGGGATAGTGATCCGGTGGCGGCGTTAGCTAACTTCTTAAAAGCTTTATATTTTAGAAGGTGGAAGGTCTGGATGCTTCATACTTTGTATATGGATGCCTCATGTTACGAAGTTTCCGTCAGTCACATGTCCAATGTCCTTGACCTCATTTTCATGGTTCAGTGACTACTTGAAAAAAAAGTTAAGATTTTTTGTAATGTTAAATTCTCTCTTATTATAAGTAATAGGATAACTACATGTATATTTGGTTTGTGCGTACCTTGCAAGGTCCTCATGCCCGTCAGACAGTTTTCACTTGACCTCGACCTCATTTCATGGATCAGTGAACAAGTTTAAGTTTTGGTGGTCAAGTCCATATCTCAGATACTATAAGCAATAGGTCTAGTATATTCGGTGTATGGAAGGACTGTCCAACTGGCAGGTGTTATCTGACCTTCACCTCATTTTCATGGTTCAGTGGTTAAAGTAAAGTTTTTGTGTTTTGGTCTGTTTTTCTAATACTATATGCAATAGTTCAACTATATTTGGTGTATGGAAATATTTTATGATCTATTTGTCAGTCACGCAGGTTTTTTTTTTACCTTGACCTCATTTTCAAGGTTCATTGCTCAGTTTTAAGTTTTTGTGTTTTGGTCTGTGTTTCTTAAACTATAAGCAATAGGTCAACTATATTTGTTGTATGGAAGAATTGTTAGCTGTACATGCCTGCCTAGCATGGTTCATCTGACCTTGACCTCATTTTCTTGGTTCATTGGTCAATGTTTAGTTTACTTGTTTAATGTTAAGTTTAAGTGACAGTTGTAATAAAGCTTTATATTTAGGACTATCAACATAATATCAATGATTAGTAAAGAAGGCGAGACATTTCAGTGTGTGCACTCTTGTTTCATTCATAAATTACTTTATACTTGGAAATATAATTTTGCTTGGAGTTATAGTTTCTAAAAAAAGTATTGTCATTGAAAGAGTTGACATGTTGCAATGTACATTTATTCTACATAGTTTTATGGTACCAAATCAAAAGTTTATATAAAAGAAAGAAGTCAAAGTTTTCCCATCATAGTTTAGTTACATACATTTTTTTTGTACCTGAGGTCGTTGGATATAGATCATTATATAAATAAGGAGATGTGTCATGATTGCCAATGAAACAACTATCACCCATACATTGTACTTACCAGTAACAAACCACATTTGTAAAGTCGAATAAAATACAGTTGATAACATTTACTTATTACTAAAAAGAAAATGCCAAACTATTTTTAACAGTATTTGACTATACAGTCTAGTCACATAATTTCGTGGATACATAAGTTCGTGGACTTCCGGAAATCCCAAATATTTCGCATGTGTGTTATTGTTATGACGTCATCATTCGCATGTTTTGATTGCTATAGGATATCCCTACAACGTCAACATACAAAATGAATCTCGTCGTTTCAAGCAAGGTAAGACTTATTACTTATTCATTTAATTAGCAAAATGGCTGATTTTACTTATTTCCTAATTTGACTAATTTCCATCGACCTCGATACCTTTATTCCAAAGATATTATCCAAAATCCAAGTGTCGTCTGATTACTCTACTTTCCAATGAACAATATCACGTGACGAACAAGGAGATTCCCTGTCAGCCAAAAAAATCTATGGAACGCAATCAGTGTCATAATCTTATATGTTTTTGATGTATTTTAGCGATAAAAGATGAATTTTGGTTTATCAAATGAACTTCAAAAGAGTTATTGAGCACAGTTCTTGTAAATTAAGTTCAACTTACGTTGATTACTGGGTAGTATAGAGGATTTGTATACACGATTTTATTTTATTGTGTATTTATTTGTTTTGTTAAAAGTTTTGTGTATCACAAAATTATTAGTGTTATTTTTTTAATATTTTACAGGTTCAACTTAAAAGGCAGAAATACAAGTCGTATTCACCAACAAAACTGACTAATGCTTATCTGGATGTTACTGACAAGAAGCTTAGTGTTGCCAAGGCTGCAAGAAAGTATTGTCTTCCTGAACAGACACTAAGAGACCGTGTATTGGGCCACATCTCTATAGACAACGTAAAGTCTGGACCACCACCAGTGTTCGACTGTGAACAGGAGGCAAGATTGGTTCAGCACATAAAAGAAATGGGTGCAGTAGGATATGCATACACCAGAGCTGAAGTGGTGGATCTTGGATCTGAGTATGCTGTTCACATGGGTATAAAGACGAAAGACGACAAGCAGCTGTCATTGAGATGGTTTTACAGCTTCATGGGTAGATGGCCTGAACTAAAGGTATGGAGACCTAAAACCATCTCAGAACTTAGAGCAAAGGCAACCTCAAGGGCATCAATTTACAGGTACTTTGATGAACTTAACCGTATAATGGAAAAATATCAGCTAAAAGACAAGCCACAGAGTATATATAATGTTGATGAGAAGGGTTTACAACCAAACTATAAACCACCAAATGTTGTGGCCTCTGCAGAGTATGTACCCTCTACCTTGTCTTCAGAAAAAGGTCAAACAACAACTGTAATGGGATGTGGTAATGCCTTAGGACATCAAATTCCACCATATTTTATTTTCGCTGGTAAACGTATGAGACAGGAGTTGTTAGAAGGGGCCACACCTGGTGCTGATGGGTCTGTCAGTGAAACTGGATGGTCCAATTCAGAGATAGTTCAGTCCTACCTGGAAAATCATTTCATTAAATACGTCACTGGTATGCAGGACAAACATATTCTTCTTCTGTATGATGGTCACAGGACTCACATAACACCAGATATCATTGATTGGGCAGTAGAGAAAAAAATTATCTTGTATGTTTTGCCTCCTCACACCAGCCATGTTCTTCAGCCCATGGATGTTGGTTGTTTTGGGCCTTTCGCAAGAATCTACAGTTCAGAATGTCATAAATTCCAACGTACCCATTCAGCAGTAATTAACAAATACAACTTATGCTCTATTGCCTGCAAATCCTACAATTCTGCTCTTTCTCCTTCAAATTTGCAGTCTGCTTTCCGTAAATCTGGTATTTACCCGTTAGATAGAGATGCTATAGATCAGTCCTTGTTTTCTATTTCTGATGCTATTCATAGACAGAGCCAATCAGAGGAAAATACCAAAGTTGATGATGTCCCTGCCATTGAAAATGAAACAACAGAACCAGTTAATTTAATGTCTGATTCAGAGATCAATGCAGACACAGAACCTATATTATCAAACCAGGAAAATGAAAACATTCAGATTTATGTAGCTGAAAAAATTACTGACGAAAAACCAGATGAAAATACAACTTTCTTCACTGCAAAATCAACAAATTTGTCCAAGAAAAATCCACCAAAACAAGAAAGACGTTCCATCTACAAGATAGTAGCAGGAAAGGCAATTACAGAACCAGAGACACGTCAAGAAATAAAGGAGTACATTGCACAGTCAAAGTCAAGGAGCAAGTCTAAAACAAACAATAAATCAACAAAACATAACATTAACCAAAATGCTAAGAAAACAACAACTAAACGTAAACAAAATGGTTCATCATCTTCTTCCAGTTCAACAACCACAAACAAGAAATTAAAGAAGAATCAACAAGATTCACAACAGCCAGGTCCATCAGGACTACACAAAATAGTTGTTTCTGACGGTTCAATTACAGATGAAGATGATCAAGATGATGATAACACATTGTGTTGTGTTTGTAACATGTGGCAGCCAAAGGAGTTACAGGATTGCATCTCCATTGTATTCACACAATGGGCCAAATGTGAATTTCTACAATGTGATCATTGGACTCATCTTAAATTTTGCTGTGATGTCTCCGTCCTACGCAGGTCAGATAAATTTTACTGCCCATGCCATGGCTTACCCTGCAAACAGAAAGAAACTGAAGAATAATGATAACGATATACATTTGATAATTGTTTGACCGTTTCCAGTTATTTATATTTAAAGACATTTACTGTTGCCAGTTCTTTATTAACAGTTGGAACACTTTTGAGTTGTGAACATTTGCTTGATTTTATAAATATGAACTTTATCTTCTGTGGAAAGAAATTAAATCATGATTCCAAAGGAAAAAATTGACTGAAATGTATCTTTAAGCACATTTTTTTTAATTAATGGTAAGTAAAAATAATTGTTATTAGCAACTTTTGATTTTATTTTGTTACTTATAATTTTAATAATTTTTTAAAAGTTAAAAAAAATTTTTTAAATTTTTTTGGTGTTTCCATTTTTTATTTTTGTAAGGTTTTCAGTCTCAAAAAAATTAAAATTAAATACTTGGTCTTTAAAAACAATGTTTTTATTTTTACTGAACTGAACATGTACAAAAATATTATTGTATAAAATTACAATTTTATGCTCACCACTGGGCTTCCATACTCTGTTCTTCTTGTATTATTTTTAGAACGAACTTTTCCCACGAAAATAGGTGACGTACTTGGCATCCAATGCCGATTTGTTTACACTAGAAATGTAGGTCATATCAAAGAAACTATGAAACGGAAAGAATCAAACTAACTTGTATTATTTTAATGAAGTTCTAAGGTAACATTATGGACATAAAAAAACAAATGGCTATTTATTAGTTTTACCGCATTCCGTTTGAATAGTCTTGTATCCACGAATATAGGTGACACTACCGTATATAAACATAGATAAAAAAGGTACAAACTGGACATAATGCACTAGTTCATAAACAAATGAGAACAATCGCCTTCATATAGTGCTCAGAATATGACATTCATAAAACTTGTTCAATATCATTAGAGAACTCTAAATCTTAAATACTGAAAGCCACCTCTGATAAGTACAATGTACTATGCAAGATAATGATATAACTGGACTAAAAATACACACAACCTGTAATTAACTGCCTTTACAGCGCTTTCGCGCTTTGATTATCCAACGCAATCATAGGTTTGAACGTTGTTTTCAATTTAGATTTGTTTATATTTTTTCGTTTGGGCTTGTATTATATTTGACTTCGGCTTTATATGATCCGTTCATCCTATTTCGACTCTTTCAAAATTCAAGAGTCTATCCTAAATTGAGGTAAATTATATGGCCTTCCAAATACCGTTTCGATTCCTAACATCACTGAAGAGACATTAATTGTCGAAATCCGGATATGGTGTACAAATTTTTGCACCTCATGTTTGCGGTATACCATCTTTTCCGCAGGTTTATTGTTTTTTGTTTCGTAATAAATTATTGTAAGTAAGATCCATTTTGTTACAGCTGGTGATCCGTTTATTTTAGCCAACGCAATCATAGGTTTGAACGTTGTTTTCAATTTAGACATGTTTATATTTTTTCGTTTGGGCTTGTATTATATTTGCCTTCGGGTTTATATACCGTTCATCCTACTTCGACTCTTTCAAAATTCAAGAGTCTATCCTAAATTGAGGTAAATTATATGGCCTTCCAAATACCGTTTCGATTCCTAACATCACTGAAGAGACATTAATTGTCGAAATTCGGATATGGTGTACAAATTTTTGCACCTCATGTTTGCGGTATACCATCTTTTCCGCAAGTTTATTAGTCCCCTACCGACGAAGTCGAAGGGGACTTTAGGTTTGCACTCTGTCTGTCTGTCTGTCTGTCTGTCTGTCTGTCTATCCGTCTATTCGTCTGTCAGTCCGGCAAATCAGCTTTCCACACTTTTTTTCTTCGTTCTTATAGATGTTGATTTAATATTTGTTATATTGTTTTTATCATGACAAGTTATAGATCAAGTTCGAATTTTGTTCTATTCTGATGATTTAGTCCAGAGTTATGGTCCATAAAAAAATCCATATCTAATGTTAGAGTACTATGTTAAACCATATTTCTATAAAAAGAGAGATAACTCATTTTTTTAAAGAAATGCTTTAGTAAATTGTTTGAAAAATTTGTGCCAGTTTGTTTGTTTGTTATTTTGTATTAACTAATTTTCTGAATGCTATATATATAAAAAATATTATTCAGTGAAATCCTTTAATTAGATAATAATCTATTTTCATTAAGGTATATATTTCATTACATTACATTGTGTAGATAAAAGTTGTTGACACTTTATAGATAAGTTACAAATGTATATTAGTTTGTGACAAATGAAAGAAAAAATATTTGGAACTATTAATTATATTTGATTATAATTTGAAAATAGATATACATTGTATTACATCATATCTAATTTTAGAGAACTATTAATCATATCCAATGTTAACAGTGTTTTCCACACTTTTTTCATCATGCTTGAAGATATTAATTGATAATTGGTATATAGTTTTATCATGACAAGTTCCAGATCAAGTTCAAATTTTTGTTTTGGTCTGATAATTTTCTGCATGTTATGGTCCTTGGACTTGAAAAATTCACTCAAATAATCAGTTATTCACACTGTTTTTAGTCATGCTTAAATATAATGACTTGATATTTACTTTTTGTTTACACCATGACAAGTTATAGCACAAGTTAGCATTTTGTTCCAGTATAATGTAATTTTTACCCGGTAGGGGACTATGTATTGCCATGTAATACTCTCAGAATGCTTGTTGATTTCTGTTTGGTAATAAATTATTATCAGATCCATTTTGTTACTGCTGGTGATCCGTTTATTTGGCAATCGCCAATGGCAGTCAGCCGGGTTTAATAACATCAGTTGTTCGACCTGCTAGTCAAATGCGTTTTGTTAAAATATACTTTTTCACTTTTTCGGTCTTTTGGAAAAATGTTGTTTGTGCTGTATTTAGACCCCTCTACCAAGAAATTTGTTTTGCATGCATACGTATAAAAATTGTGGTTTTTATCCAACGCAATCACAGGTTTGAACGCTGTTTTCAATTTAGACTTGTTTATATTTTTTCGTTTGGGCTTGTATTATATTTGCCTTCGGGTTTATATGATCCGTTCATCCTATTTCGACTCTTTCAAAATTCAAGAGTATATCCTAAATTGAGGTAAATTATATGGCCTTCTGAATACCGTTTCGATTCCTAACATCACTGAAGAGACATTAATTGTCGAAATCCGGATATGGTGTACAAATTTTTGCACCTCATGTGTGCGGTATACCATCTTTTCCGCAAGTGTATTGTTTTCTGTTTGGTAATAAATTATTATAAGATCCATTTTGTTACAGATGGTGATCCGTTTATTTGTCAATCGCCAATGGCAGTCAGCAGGGTTTAAGAACATCAGTTGTTCGACCTGCTAGTCAAATGCGTTTTGTTAAAATATACTTTTTCACTTTTTCCGTCTTTTGGAAAAATGTTGTTTGTGCTGTATTTAGACCCCTCTACCAATAAATTTGTTTTGCATGCACACGTATAAAAATTGCGGTTTTTATCCAACGCAATCACAGGTTTGAACGCTGTTTTCAATTTAGACTTGTTTATATTTTTTCGTTTGGGCTTGTATTATATTTGACTTCGGGTTTATATGATCCGTTCATCCTATTTCGACTCTTTCAAAATTCAAGAGTCTATCCTAAATTGAGGTAAATTATATGGCCTTCCGAATACCGTTTCGATTCCTAACATCACTGAAGAGACATTAATTGTCGAAATCCGGATATGGTGTACAAATTTTTGCACCTCATGTTTGCGGTATACCATCTTTTCCGCAAGTTTATGGTTTTCTGTTTGGTAATAAATTATTATGAGATCCATTTTCTTACAGCTGGTGATCCGTTTATTTGGCAATCGCCAATGGCAGTCAGCAGGGTTTAAGAACATCAGTTGTTCGACCTGCTAGTCAAATGCGTTTTGTTAAAATATACTTTTTCACTTTTTCGGTCTTTTGGAAAAATGTTGTTTGTGCTGTATTTAGACCCCTCTACCAATAAATTTGTTTTGCATGCACACGTATAAAAATTGCGGTTTTTATCCAACGCAATCATAGGTTTGAACGTTGTTGAAAGTATATTTTAACAAAACGCATTTGACTAGCAGGTCGAACAACTGATGTTCCTAAACCCTGCTGACTGCCATTGGCGATTGCCAAATTAAAGGATCACCAGCTGTAACAAAATGGATCTTATAATAATTTATTACCAAACAGAAAATAATACACATGCGGAAAAGATGGTATACCGCAAACATGAGGTGCTAAAATTTGTACACCATATCCGGATTTCGACAATTAATGTCTCTTCAGTGATGTTAGGAATCGAAACGGTATTTGGAAGGCCATATAATTTACCTCAATTTAGGATAGACTCTTGAATTTTGAAAGAGTCGAAATAGGATGAACGGATCATATAAACCCGAAGGCAAATATAATACAAGCCCAAACGAAAAAATATAAACAAGTCTAAAGGTTTTTGTACACCATATCCGGATTTCGACAATTAATGTCTCTTCAGTGATGTTAGGAATCGAAACGGTATTTGGAAAGCCATACAATTTACCTCAATTTAGGATAGACTCTTGAATTTTTAGGAGTCAAAATAGGATGAACGGATCATATAAACCCGAAGGCAATATATATATATATATATATATATATATATAAACAAGTATAAATTGAAAACAACGTTCAAACCTATGATTGCGTTGGAGAAAAACCGCAAATTTTATACGTGTGCATGCAAAACAAATTTCTTGTTAGAGGGGTCCAAATACCGCACAAACAACATTTTCCAAAAGACCAAAAAAGTGAAAAAGTATATTTTAACAAAACGCATTTGACTAACAGGTCGAACAACAAATTTTCTTTAACCCTGCTGACTGCCATTGGCGATTGCCAAATAAACGGATCACCGATGTAATAAATGGATCTTAATTATAAATTTAATACTAAACAGAAAACAATAAACTTGCAGAAAAGATGATATACCGCAAACAAAAGGTGCAAAGGTTTTTGTACACCATATCCGGATTTCGACAATTGATGTATCTTCAGTGATGTTAGGAATCGAAACGGTTTTTGGAAAGCCATACAATTTACCTCAATTAAGGACAGACTCTTGAATTTTGAGGAGTCAAAATAGGATGAACGGATCATATAAACCCGAAGGCAAATATAATACAAGCCCAAACGAAAAATATAAACAAGTCTAAATTGAAAACAACGTTCAAACCTATGATTGCGTTGGATAAAAACCGCAATTTTTATACGTGTGCATGCAAAACAAATTTCTTGTTAGAGGGGTCCAAATACCGCACAAACAACATTTTCCAAAAGACCAAAAAAGTGAAAAAGTATATTTTAACAAAACGCATTTGACTAACAGGTCGAACAACAAATGTTCTTTAACCCTGCTGACTGCCATTGGCGATTGCCAAATAAACGGATCACCGATGTGATAAATGGATCTTAATTATATATATATATACACATATTTAGACCTGTTTTCATTTAAGAGGCAATGCTACATGTAACTAGACATCCTAGATAATAAGAGCTTCAGGATCGTAAATTGTCGAAAACTAAATATCTGTGTATTCAATGTATAATGCTAAATGCATCCACGAATGATTGAAACGAGAGGGGGTCTGGTTATCTTCCCCAAGTATTATCTTAATGTGTACGTTTTTGTTTTCGTAAGGGTTAGATCAAAGAATCTATACCATTTAATTTTACCTACAGGTAGGTGTATTGAAGATGTTCTTTCCATAAACGATACAAACTTTTCTGTTTGGGTCCCATTAAAAGTCATGAAATTGAGGTTACAGACACACTTATACAGCTTCCTCGGCCTCATTTTTATACGACCGCAAAAAATTTTTGCGGTCGTATATTGGTATGACGTTGGCGTCGTCGTCGTCGTCGTCGTCGTCGTCGTCCGGCGTCGTCCGGCGTCGTCCGAAGACACATTGGTTTTCGCACTCTAACTTTAGTTTAAGTGAATGGATCTCTATGAAATTTTACCATAAGGTTCAATACCACAAAAGGAAGGTTGTGATTGATTTTGGGGGTTATGGTACCAACAGTTAAGGAATTATGGGCCAAAAAGGGGCCAAAAATAAGCATTTTTGTAACTTCCATACATAACTTGTGTGTTAGTGTATGGATCTCTCTGACATTGTAACACAAGGTTCCATATCACACAGGGAATGCTGGGATTTATTTTGGGGGTAATTGCCTCAAAATATTAGGAATTAGGGGCCAAAAAGTGGCAAAAAACAAGCATTTTTCTACTTTCATGACAATAACTTGTTTGTAAGTGTATGGATCTTTCTGAAATTGTACTACAAGGTTCCATATCACAAAGGGAAAGCTAGAATTGAGTTTGGGGGTAATTGCCCTAAACGTTTAGGAATAAGGGGCCAAAAAGGGGCCACAAATAAGCATTTTTCTAGTTTCCAGACAATAACTTGTGTTCAAGTGTATGGATCTCTCTGAAATTATACCACAAGATTCCATATCATACAGGGAATGCTGGGATTGATTTTGGGGGTAATTGCCTCAAAATATTAGGAATGAGGGGCCAAAAAAGGGGCAAAAAACAAGCATTTTTCTAGTTTCATGATAATAACTTGTGTGTAAGTGTATGGATCTTTCTGAAATTGTACTACAAGGTTCCATATCACAAAGGGAAAGCTGGAATTGAGTTTGGGGGTAATTGCCAAAACGTTTAGGAATAAGGGGCCAAAAAGGGGCCAAAAATAAGCATTTTTCTAGTTTCCAGACAATAACTTGTGTTCAAGTGTGTGGATCTCTCTGAAATTGTACTGCAAGGTACCATACCACAAAGGGAAGGTTGGGATTGAGTTTGGGGTGATGAATCATAAGGGGGTTCAAAAAATTTGGGGGGGGGGGATTTTTTTTTTTCCTTTTTTTTTTCTTTTAAAATTTTCCATTTTAAGTTGGTTATTTATTTCTGTTTTATATTTAAAAGCAAATTATAATGATATGGTAGGAGATACACACCAAACAGGATGTGTAAATTATTATATAATAAGTATTGTGCAATAGCAAGAAATTTTCAATTGCATAGTATTGCACAATAGCAAGAAATCTTCAATTGCACAGTATTGCGCAATAGCAAGAAATCTTCAATTGCACAGTATTGTGCAATAGCAAGAAATATCCAATAGCACAATATTGCACAATAGCAAGAAATTGTCAATTGTACAGTATTGCGCAATAGCAAGAAATATTCAATTGCACAGTATTGTGCAAAAGAAGATACTTCGTATAAATTGCTTATTTCTTGACCAATTTCAATGGTGTTTTATTCTTGAATTCTTGGGGTTCTTTAATATGCTGATTCTAACCGTGTATTAAGTTTTTTGGATTTTGGGCCCCGTTTTTAAATTGGTCCACATTTAGGTCCAAAGGGTCCAAAATTAAACTTTGTTTGATTTCATCAAAAATTGAATTATTGGGGTTCTTTGATATGCCGAATCTAACCGTGTATTTAGATTCTTAATTTTTGGTTCTGTTTTCAAATTGGTCTACATTAAGGTCCAAAGGGTCCAAAATTAAACTTAGTTTGATTTTAACAAAAATTGAATTCTTAGGGTTCTTTGATATGCTGAATCTAAACATGTATTTAGATTTTTGATTATGGGCCCAGTTTTCAAGTTGGTCCAAATCGGGGTCCAAAATTAAACTTTGTTTGATTTCAACAAAAATTGAATATATGGGGTTCTTTGATATGCTGAATCTAACCATGTATTTAGATTTTTGATTTTTGGGCCCCATTATCAACTTTGTCCACATTGAGGTCAAAAGGGTCCAAAATTAAACTTTGTTTGATTTCATCAAAAATTGAATTCTTGGAGTTCTTTGATATGCTGAATCTAACCATGCATTTAGATTTTGGATATTGGACCATAATAGGTGAATGTCCAATTTAAAATTTTTAAGTTCTTAGACCACATTCATTCTGTGTCAGAAACCTATGCTGTGTCAAATATTTAATCACAATCCAAATTCAGAGCTGTATCAAGCTTGAATGTTGTGTCCATACTTGCCCCAACTGTTCAGGGTTCGACCTCTGCGGTCGTATCAAGCTGCGCCCTGCGGTCGTATCAAGCTGCGCCCTGCGGAGCATTTTATTTTTACATATATCCCGAATTTGACTACAGCGGTCATCTCAATACCAGAGTATGACAAACGAGATGATTTCAATTTTGAAATTATAAATTTTCCTCACCTTCGGGGCGATTTACCAATTTCATCCGCGTATGGAATATACATTTCTCAACTTGTACGATTTTCAGGAGATTGCAGCTGCTATTAAGAGTTTGTAAAACATCATCAGGGCCTGAGCAAAAAGATTAATGATCCAGGGTTTTGTGAAAGAACATCTTCTCCTTTTTCTTAAAAAGTTTATTGTAAAGTACCGGCAAGATCTAATAGATAAGTGTCTACTTAACAAATAATACAGGATGGTCTTGAGTTATATATTCTAGGTGCTGACTCTTTGTAGCATTTTATCTACTTTAAATTTTTACTTTTATTTGTCCTTGTACTATTATGTCCCATTTCATTGTATGCCTATTGACGTAGTTCGATATATGTGCATCCGGATTACAGATTTTTGGCTTTTGGCGTTCCTTATGCAAATGGGTCCAGAGATGCAATTCGGACACATGAGATTTTTATACGACCGCAAAAAAATTTTGCGGTCGTATATTGGTATGACGTTGGCGTCGTCGTCGTCGTCCGAAGACACATTGGTTTTCGCACTCTAACATTAGTTTAAGTGAATGGATCTCTATGAAATTTTACCATAAGGTTCAATACCACAAAAGGAAGGTGGGGTTATGGTACCAACTGTTAAGGAATTAGGGGCCAAAAAGGGGCAAAAAACAAGCATTTTTCTAGTTTCATGAAAATAACTTGTGTGTAAGTGTATGGATCTCTCTGACATTGTACCACAAGGTTCCATATCACAAAGGGAATGCTTGGATTGATTTTGGGGGTAATTGCCTCCAAATTTTAGGAATTAGGGGCCAAAAAGGGGCAAAAAACAAGCATTTTTATACGTTTCATGACAATAACTTGTGTGTAAGTGTATGGATCTTTATGAAATTGTACTACAAGGTTCCATATCACAAAGGGAAAGCTGGAATTGAGTTTGGGGGTAATTGCCCAGAAAAGTTTAGGAATAAGGGGCCAAAAATAAGCATTTTTCTAGTTTCCAGACAATAACTTGTGTTCAAATGTTTGGATCTCTCTGAAATTGTACTGCAAGGTACCATACCACAAAGGGAAGGCTGGGATTGATTTTAGGGGTAATTCCCTCAAAATTTTAGTAATTAGGGGCCATAAAAGGGCAAAAAACAAGCATTTGTATACGTTTCATGACAATAACTTGTGTGTAAGTGTATGGATCTTTATGAAATTGTACTATAAGGTTCCATATCACAAAGGGAAAGCTGGAATTGAGTTTGGGGGTAATTGCCTAGAAAAGTTTAGGAATAAGGGACACAAAACAAGCATTTTTCTAGTTTCATGACAATAACTTGTGTGTAAGTGTATGGATCTTTCTGAAATTGTACTACAAGGTTCCATATCACAAAGGGAAAGCTGGAATTGAGTTAAGGGGTAATTGCCCAAAACGTTTAGGAATAAGGGGCCAAAAATAAGCATTTTTCTAGTTTCCAGACAATTACTTGTGTTCAAGTGTATAGATCTCTCTGAAATTGTACTGCAAGGTACCATACCACAAAGGAAAGGCTGGGATTGATTTTGGGGGTAATTGCCTCAAAATTTTAGAAATTAGGGGCCATAAAGGGGCAAAAAAACATGTATTTTTCTAGTTTCCAGACAATAACTTGTATTCAAGTGTATAGATCTCTCTGAAATTGTACTGCAAGATACCATACCACAAAGGGAAGGCTGGGATTGATTTTGGGGGTAATTGCCTCAAAATTTTAGAAATTAGGGGCCATAAAGGGGCAAAAAAACAAGCATTTTTCTTGTTTCAGGACAATAACTTTTGTGTAAGTGTATGAATCTTTATGAAATTGTACTGCAATGTTCCATATCACAAAGGGAAAGCTGGGTTTGAGTTTGGGGGTAATTGCCCTAAACGTTTAGGAATTTGGGGCCAAAAAGGGGCCAAAAAACAAGCATTTTTCTAGTTTCCAGACAATAACTTGTGTTCAAGTGTATGGATCTCTCTGAAATTGTACTGCAAGGTACAATACCATAAAGGGAAGGCTGGGATTGAGTTTGGGGGTAATGAATCATAAGGGGGTTCCAAAAAATTTGGGTGGGGATTTTTTTTTTCGTTTTTTTCTTTAAAATTTTCCATTTTAAATTGGTTATTTCTGATTTATATATAAAAGCAAATAATAATGATATGGTTTGAATAGGTAAATTAAAAATTTTTAAGTTCTTAGACCACATTCATTCTATGTCAGAAACCTATGCTGTGTCAAATACTTAATTACAATCCAAATTCAGTGCTGTATCAAGCTTGAATGTTGTGTCCATACTTGCCCCAACTGTTCAGGGTTCGACCTCTGCGGTCGTATCAAGCTGCGCCCCAGCGGAGCATTTTATTCTTTCTATAAATCTTTTAGATGTAAAATTATAAGCCATCTGTAAAAGTCTTATACAATCTTTGATATTTTTTAATAGTTTTTTAGAACTTAAATTGTCAATGATAAAGCTATGAAAAATCAAGAGAGAACATTTTCCTGCCAAAATTTCAATGGCTAATATCTCGAAAACAAGCACATTGACCTTTATAATTTTGTTTTTCTCTTTTGGTTCCTTTATTAATCACCTATCAATATATACTAGTGTTATGAAAAGCTTGTTATTTTGAAAATGAGTAGGGAACTTCCTTAAATTAAACTATATTTGGTGTGTCAGATGATTTGCATGTCTGTCCGGCAGAATTAATCTGACCTTGGTCCGTCGTCAGCCGTTAACTTTTACAAAAATCTTATCTTCTGAATCTACTGGACCAAATGTAACCAAACTTGGCCACAGTCATCATTTGGGTATCTTGTTATAAAAATGAGTCTGATGGCCACCATGGCTAAAAATAGAACAAGGGGTAAAATGTAGATTTTGGCTTATATCTCTGGAACCAAAGCATTTAGAGCAAGTCTGACAGATTAAAATTGTTCATCAGGTCGAGATCTATATGCCCTTAAATTTTCAGCCAAATCAGACAACCCGTTGTTGGGAAGCTACCCCTGAATTGGTAATTTTAAGGAAATTTTGCAGTTTTTGGTGAGTCTGCGACTTTAGTCGTGGTATTAACTTACTTCTTAAAAGCTTTATATTTTAGAAGGTAGAAGGCCTGGATGCTTCATACTTTGTATATATAGGTGCCTTATGTGACGAAGTTTCCGTCAGTCACATGTAGTAAAGAAGCGCGACATTTCAGGGTGTGCACTCTTGTTGGTTATTTTCTTGAATATTAGTATAGATAGAGATAAACTGTAAACAGCAATAATGTTCAGCAAAGTAAGATCTACAAATAATTGACCACTTAAGGAGTTATTGCCCTTTATAGTCAATTTTTTTTGTAAATTTTTGTAATTTATACATAAATCTTCTCCTCTGAAACTACTGAGACAAATTTAACCAAACTTGGCCACAATCATCATTAGGGTATCTTGTTTACAAAATGTGTCTGATGACCCGCCTTGCAAACCAACATTGCTGACATGTCTAAAAATAGAACATAGGGGGTAAAACGCAAGTTTTGTCTATTATTTTTTGAAACGTTATAAATAGAGAAAATCTGAAAGGAGCAAAAATGTTCAGAATAATGAGCTCTACCAATTGTCCATATACGTAAGATAAATTCTTATAGGAGTTATTGCCCATAAGGCCATGCAAAAAAAGATAGGTGGTTTCCCCTAACCCTGCCGGGTCTCTTTTTACCCTCCATGTCAATTCTTTTTTTTCTCTTTTTTTTTTTTTTTTGGCAGATGAAAAATAAAGAGTTTCTTTGATTTCTAATGACTATTATCAATGATGCTTTTAAAATTGTCTGATAATCTCAAGTGTTTCAACATTGCTCAATTCTCATTCCTTCAGTTTCACATAGATTTAATATACCACAATATAGAATTAGAAATAAACATTAATTACAGGTAAACAACAACATTCTCTGTAGACGAAACTGATTTTTCACAAAAAAATAAAATAAAATAAAAAGTTGTTCCTGCCTGCCAGGCCTTGATTATTAGGGGCCCGCTGAATGGCGAACGCCCTATAGTGATCAGTCTGTCCGTCCGTCCGTCCGTAACAAATTGTGTCCGCTCTATATCTAGAGAACTGTTATGATTTCAAAGTTTATACTTGACATATAAACCAACACCAGAGGGTGTGTCATAATGTATGTACAACTTCCTAGGTCAAAGGTCAAGGTCAAAAACTTTGGTTGTAGTTGACAACCCCATGTCCTATGGTAAAGATCGTGTCCGCTCTATATCTTGAGAACCGTTATGATTTCAAAGTTTATACTTGACATGTATATAAACCAACACCAGAGGGTGTGTCATAATGTACATGTATGTACAACTTCCTAGGTCAAAGGTCAAGGTCAAAAACTTTGGTTTTAGTTGACAACCCCATGTCCTATGGTAAAGATCGTGTCCGCTCTATTCTATATCTTGAGAACCGTTATGATTTATACTTGACATGTATATAAACCAACACCAGAGGGTGTGTCATAATGTATGTACAACTCCTAGGTCAAAGGTCAAGGTCATAAACTTCGGTTTCAGTTGACAACCCCATGTTTAATGATAAAGATACAAATTTTTTACCACACATTATTCACAGCGGGGCCCACAGAGATGGCTCCCATCTCAATGATATCTAGTTTTCACATGTATGGGGAAACCAACATTCATTTTTTAATGGCCTAAATGACAAATTTTACCATTTTTTTCTCATTTTTTGACTATTACCATGAAAACTATATGATATTTAGAAAGAAACATTTTTTTTTCCGTTATGCCTTATATGATTTAGATTATAAAAGATAAATAAACACTTCAAATCACAAAAATGATTAACAAGGCAAGATCTATTAAAAAGTCAAAGGTTGCCGACATAGTAAGTAGACTGTCACTATTCATAGAAGTGATTGCCCTTGAATGAGGATTTTTTGTACCTTCTATTGTGTTTTGAGCAAAACCTAAAGAAGATAGAGAGAAACTTAACAGACTAAAAGATAAGTTTTACAAGATCAACAAAATAAAATTTTTTGTCATAAAGTCTAATAGTCCATTCTCCTCCACAATTTTGTAGAGTGTCCTTTGTTTGATAAGCACATAGACCAAGGTGAGCGAGACGTAGGTTCTCTAGTTTTTATTAACTGTACAGTTTTTATACGACTGCAAAAAAAATTTGCGATCTTATATTGGTATGACGTTGGCGTCGTCGTTGTCCTGCGTCGTTGTCGTCGTCCGAAGACACATTGGTTTTCGCATTCTAACTTTAGTTTAAGTGAATGGATCTCTATTAAATTTTACCATAAGGTTCAATTCTACAACAGGAAGGTTGGGATTGATTTTGGGGGTTACGATACCAACAGTTAAGGAATTAAGGGGCAAAAAGGGGCCAAAAATAAGCATTTTTGTATCTTCCAGACATTACTTGTGTGTTAGTGTATGGATCTCTCTGACATTGTACCACAATGTTTCATATCACAAAGGGAATGCTTGGATTGATTTTGGGGGTAATTGCCTCAAAATTTTAGGAATAAGGGGCAAAAAAAGCAGCAAAAAACAAGCATTTTTCTAGTTTCATGACAATAACTTGTGTGTAAGTGTATGGATCTTTCTGAAATTGTACTACAAGGTTCCATATCACAAAGGAAAAGCTGGAATTGAGTTTGGGGGTAATTGCCTCAAAACGTTTAGGAATAAGGGGCCAAAAAGGGGCCAGAAATAAGCATGTTTCTAGTTTCCAGACAATAACTTGTGTTCAAGGGTATGGATCTCTCTGAAATTGTACTGCAAGGTACCATACCACAAAGGGAAGGCTGGGATTGATTTTGGGGGTAATTGCCTCAAAATTTTAGGAATTAGGGGCCAAAAAGGGGCAAAAAACAAGCATTTTTCTAGTTTCAAGACAATAACTTGCGTGTAAGTGTATGGATCTTTTTGAAATTGTACTACAAGGTTCCATATCACAAAGGGAAAGCTGGGTTTGAGTTTGGGGGTAATTGCCCTAAACGTTTAGGAATTTGGGGCCAAAAAGGGACCTAAAAACAAGCATTTTTCTAGTTTCCAGACAATAACTTGTGTTCAAGTGTATGGATCTCTCTGAAATTGTACTGCAAGGTACCATACCACAAAGGGAAGGCTGGGATTGAGTTTGGGGGTAATGAATCATAAGGGGGTTCAAAAAATTTGGGGGAGGGATATTTTTTCTTTTTTTCCTTTTTTTTCTTTAAAGTTTTCCATTTTAAATTGGTTATTTCTGATTTATATATGAAAGCAAATAATAATGATATGGTTTGAATAGGTAAATTAAATTTTTTAAGTTCTTAGACCTCATTAATTCTGTGTCAGAAACCTATGCTGTGTCAAATATTTAATCGCAATCCAAATTCAGTGCTGTATCAAGCTTGAATGTTGTGTCTATACTTGCCCCAACTGTTCAGGGTTCGACCTCTGCGGTCGTATCAAGCTGCGCCCAGCGTAGCATTTTATTACAGTGTTGTTTTCATTTTGTATACCCATGTATTTATATTTTACCAATTTTGTATTTCATCGGGAAAGTATTATGTGAGGAGCTCCTTACGGAGCCTCTTCAGGGCTATGTAAATATAAATATTTTCATTGTCGGAGATTTAATTTGGTGCGCACGACATCTAAAAACTTGTGAGCACAACTTTCAAAAACTGGTGCGCACGAGTTTCAAAGTCGTGCGCACCAATTAGAAAGTAATGCGCACCATTTTGAAATGCGTCCTCACCAGTTTGAAAGTCATGCGTACCAGTTTGAAAGTCATGCGCACAAGTTTGAAAGTCGTGCACACGAGCTGAAAAGTTGTACGCACGAGTTTCGAAGTTGTGTGCACGATTTTTCAAACTGGTGCACACCAGATTATATCTCCGGTAGACGAAAGTATTTATATTTACATGACACTTTGGGGACTCAATAATCATGCTCTACTATACGAACGAATAAGCGGCAACTGATATTTCACGATCCTTTTCACGATCATCAAAATGCGGTACCCGATCTTTCACGATCCGAAATATCAAATTTTTACAAATATTACCATTTTTGTAAAGTTTCGGATTTAACTAAATCAAAATAACTTTAAGAACTATTTTAAACAGAATTATTGAACGACATTTTTAAGAGAAAAGTAGTTCATGAACTAAAAATTTGAAGAAAAAAAATCATGTTTGTTTAAGTTTTTATTTCCCTGAAATTTCGATGAGCAATCTGCCTTTTGAAATTTTTTTAAAAAAGGTGTACTTTTAAGACTTATTTTTTCTCGAATACTGATCATAATGCTGAACCATTTTGACAGACAGTTTTATTTTTCCAATATTTGTCATTATAATTGATTGAATTAGATTATTTACCGACGTTGCATGTGTCTTCTCGATAAGATTTCGTTCACGATCCTATACCAGATCTTTCACGATCCAATCGCAATACTTGACTTACTTATTCTTTTACGATCATTTTCCTCGATGAACCGAATGACAGCCGTGTTGTCCGTCTATTGTTCATATCAATCAAATCAATACCGAGGGGATATTCCCAACAATATTTATTTTTATACCTTCTGTTCCAATGAAAAATTCACATTAAAATACACATGATACATGCAGGAATATTTTTGATTTTCAAAAATTAAACCCATATAACTGTGCTATATATTCAGGTCACGGATTAGTTTGTAGATTTAACGGTTCACATACAGCCATTTTTCTTAAATGGTTATGTTCAGCATTAACGTCCTGTTTCCACTTTGGAATATGTTCGATAATATAATACATTACCACAAAAACTGAAGATGCAACACGAATATTCGGCGCATCTTTCTACATTGATATAGTAATAGCATTCATAACACCAGTTTTTATACGACCGCAAAATTTGTGCGGTCGTATATTGGTATGACGTTGGCGTCGTCGTTGTCGTCGTCGTCGTCGTCGTCGTCGTCTCGTCGTCGTCGTCGTCGTCCGAAGACATTTGGTTTTCGCACTATAACTTTAGTGTAAGTAAATAGAAATCTATGAAATTTCAACACAAGGTTTATGACCACAAAAGGAAGGTTGGGATTGATTTTGGGAGTTTTGGTCCCAACAGTTTAGGAATTAGGGGCTAAAAAAGGGCCCAAATAAGCATTTTTCTTGGTTTTCGCACAATAACTCTAGTATAAGTAAATAGAAATCTATGAAATTTCAACACAAGGTTTATGACCACAAAAGGAAGGTTGGAATTGATTTTGGGAGTTTTGGTCCCAACAGTTTAGGAATTAGGGGCTAAAAAAGGGCCCAAATAAGCATTTTTTTTGGTTGTTGCACAATAACTTTAGTATAAGTAAATAGAAATCTATGAAATTTAAACACAAGGTTTATGATCACAAAAGGAAGGTTGGGATTGATTTTGGGAGTTTTGGTCCCAACAGTTTAGGAATTAGAGGCCAAAAGGGTCCGAAATTAAACTTTGTTTGATTTCATCAAAAATTGAACTATTGGGGTTCTTTGATATGTCGAATCTAACCGTGTATTTAGATTCTTAATTTTTGGTCCCGTATTCAAGTTGGTCTACATTAAGGTCCAAAGGGTCCAAAATTAAACTTAGTTTGATTTGAACAAAAATTGAATTCTTGGGGTTCTTTGATATGCTGAATCTAAACATGTACTTAGTTTTTTGATTATGGGCCCAGTTTTCAAGTTGGTCCAAATCGGGGTCCAAAATTAAACTTTGTTTGATTTCAACAAAAATTGAATATATGGGGTTTTTCGATATGCTGAATCTAACCATGTATTTAGAATTTTTGATATTTGGGCCCGGTTATCAAATTGGTCCACATTGAGGGTTAAAAGGTCCAAAATTGAACTTTATTTGATTTCATAAAAAATTGAATTCTTTGGGTTCTTTGATATGCTGAATCTAACCATGTATTTAGATTTTGGATATTGGAATACCACAAAGGGATGGTAAGAAATGTCTTTGGGAGTTATGGCTCAAACCGTTAAGGAATAAGGTGCTAAAAAGGGGGGAAAAGGGTTTCAATGTTAATGGACAATTACTTAAGTACAAAACATAATTTAAAAGGCAGTGTAAGGTTGGTAATTGAAACTCATTTGAATATCTCACCTAAACTGCTTTTAAATTATGTATATTGGAAATTTGCCAAAAACTTTATTATTAATAAATTCCATTGGAAATTTGCCAATAACTTTAGTTTAATGAACTTCATTGGAAATTTGCCAATATAAAATGTTGCTGATGAAGCTTTTTTGTTTATCTCACCTAAACTGCTTTTAAATTATGTATATTGGAAATTTGCCAAAAACTTTATTATTAATAAATTCAATTGGAAATTTGCCAATAACTTTAGTTTAATGAACTTCATTGGAAATTTGCCAATATAAAATGTTGCTGATGAAGCTTTTTTGTTTATCTCACCTAAACTGCTTTTAAATTATGTATATTGGAAATTTGCCAAAAACTTTATAATTAATAAATTCCATTGGAAATTTGCCAATAACTTTAGTTTAATGAACTTCATTGGAAATTTGCCAATATAAAATGTTGCTGATGAAGCTTTTTTGTTTATCTCACCTAAACTGCTTTTAAATTATGTATATTGGAAATTTGCCAAAAAATTTATTATTAATAAATTCCATTGGAAATTTGCCAATAACTTTAGTTTAATAAACTTCATTGCATTTTTTCTAGTTTCAAGACAATAGCGTGTGTAAGTGTATGGATCTCTCTAAAATTGTACTACAAGGTTCCATACCACAAAGGGAAGGCTGGGATTGAGTTTGGGGGTAATTACTTCAAGGAAGGGGGGGGGGGGGTTGCGAAAAGTTGGGGGGGGGGGGATTTTTTTTCCAATTTTTTGGGGTTCATATTTTTTTTCTTCAAAGGTTTTTGTAATCTTCAATTGCACAGTATTGCGCAATTTCACAGTATTGTACAATAGCACAATATTGGGCAATAGCAAGAAATCTTCAATAGCACAGTATTGCGCAATAGTAAGAAATCTTTAATTGCACAGTATTGCGCAATAGCACAGTATTGCGCAACAACACAGTATTGCACAATAGCACAGTATTGCGCAATAGCACAGTATTGCACAATAGCACAGTTTTTCGCAATAGCAAGAAATCTTCAATTGCACAGTATTGCGCAATAGCAAGAAATCTTCAATTGCACAGTATTGTGCAATAGCAAGAAATCTTCAATTGAAAATAAATACAAATCTTTTAACCAATTTCAATGGGATTAATTTAAAGTCTTTAATTTTTGGGGGTTCTTACCTTGTATTACTTTTTTGGATATTGGGCCCCATTTTTAAATTGGTCTACATTGAGGTCAAAAGGGTCCAAAATTAAACTTTGTTTGATTTCATCAAAAACTGAATTATTGCGGCTGTATGATATGCTGAATCTTATTGTGCATTTAGATTTTTTATTTTGGGCCCTGTTTTCAAGTTAGTCCATATTAAGGTTTGAAGGGTCCAAAATTAAACTTTTGATTGATTTCAACTAAAATTAAATTTTTGGTGTTTTTTTATATGCTGAATCTAACCATGTTGTTAGATTTTGGATATCAGACCATTCTAGGTAAAATGAATGTCCCATTTCAAATCTTTAAGCTCTTTGACCACATTTATTTTGTGTCAGAATCCTATATTATGTCAAAATTTTGATCACAATCCAAATTCAGACAGTATCAAGCTTGAATATTGTGTCCAAACTTGCCCCAACTGTTCAAGGTTCGACCTCTGCGGTCGTAGCAGGCTGCGCTCTGCGAAGCATTTTATTAACAATTTGATTTTATTCAGCACATTGGAATTCGATCGGAAAATTTTACGGTCGCCATCACGAGTTGGTTTACAGTATGGAATATCTGTTTCACAGAAGACGATGGATATATACCAATTGTCGTAACCACATCCCGTCATCATTTCCTCAAATGTAACATCACAGAATTAGACTATCATCGAGTTTGTATTTACATGAGCAGCAGTGGCGTTTCAACACGACGGAGGCCACTTATGGAGCAGAATCTGCTTACCGTTCCGGAACACCTGCAATCTACCCCGTTTTTTTGGTGATGAAGCTCAGTCTTTAGTTTCTCTGTTTTGTTTTGTATACTGTTGTTTGCTTCTTTGTCGTTTTTCGCTTTTTCCCCCGTATGACGCGTTGC